GTCCGAAACGTCAGTAAGTTATTTCACATACTTTTTTACGGTGTTAAATTTACCTTTTTACACAACTGTTTCTTTAGAAACACCGACGCAGCTCACACTAGTTTACCGCTAGTTCCCACCAATACAAAGAAGACAACAAGCAAGCAAGAACAAGCACAACGAAAGAGAGAAGTGACGGATACCAACGAAGGCTAGGTGAATAAAACGAAATTCAAGAGTCTTCACAATCTACAAGATACACCACTATAGAAATAAGAATGGAGCAAACAAGATAAGAATGTATAGATGACTTACATTGGGCAGAAACCACGTCTTCAGGAGAAAAGGTACTCAAAAAAAGAACACAGCTTAGAGTAAAGAAGACCTTCATGCTTGATTCGATGTTTGATTCAAACTAACTGGAAAGCTGAAGTGCTCTTTACTAAACCAACAAATATGAATACTAAATTCACATGTATTTTATTGTTTGATTAGCGCTATTTTGTAATAATTAGTGCACTTTGTTTCATACAAAGCTCAACATACACGGACGCTCGGTTAGGCTGTAACGCTGTATGGAAGCAAGCCACCTATCTGGTCAGAAAGATTCTTCTTGTTCAGTTTCGTTTCACTATGGACCCACAATACAAGAGTTGAAAACCTCTATTGCACAGGGCGGCCTCAGTTCATTAGGCTGARCGATAAAGSTATAGTTTAGTTASCAAAGCAAATGATCCTCATGAATCTAATTMGTCTATATTATCTGGTTATCTTCGTGTGATAAGAAGTTTCAGTGTCTTTGTTTCTAATTTCTTCCAAAGGTTCATGTTTGATTGGTGTCTGTTACCATGACAGTGTACTCTTTCTAATGGGGGATTTGCTGACAATCTATCAATATCTAATTCAGTGTATGAAATGGAAAACTGAAAGAACTGTTGATGAATCATTAGCGGCAAATCCAGATTTTCTTGTAATGTCATGTCACTCTGGTGGGCGCGCGCAATCAAAATGGTTACAAAAAGACACAAAGTAGACAAGGAATCCAGGTACAACGCACCCTATGCAGCCACCAGCTGGGTCCGTCGGAAAGTGAAATGATACTACCAAAAGTGTATCGTACAAAGAGACTTTGTTAGCTTASTTGTATTCAGTAGTTAGTAAATGTTGTACCTTGTTATATATGATCTGCAGATAAGATTTTTTAAAAACATTTTTTTCAAAAGCATCGTTGCATGAAAATTCATCAAAAACGGACGAAATAAAAGTTGGTTTTCTTATTTAATATGTTTATGAGTTGTTATCAATTATTACTATAAGATTTAATGCGACAAGTAAACTAGACGTTTCGGTGTCATCAGACACCATTTTCAAGAGTAATGTATTCTAAATGTTATCATTTTACGCATCTTTATGCAACATGTCGTTGCCAACAATTAAGCTTTTTATGGAAAAGGGTCGATCACGGTATCAAACAAGAAGAGGCTAAACAACCAAAAGAAGCTCTCTATGGTTTATAGGTTTAACTCTGATTTGTCGTGGGTGGGTGGTTACCCAAGCCATGGCATTTCAGTGATGTCGGTCGGAAAAACGCATCTTTCTGCTGGTAAACTATCCTATAATATAAAAATAAAAATTTAAAGAAAGGAATAAGAAATACTTTATAATATTTTATAAGAAATATATTTTACTAAGTGAGTCAGACTAATATATGTGATATACTAACCAATATTTTCATGTCTTCATCGCTGATAACAAARTCAAAGATGTTTGCATTTTCCACAATTCTTACAGGGTTTGAAGACTTTGGAATAGTGATGTAATCCTTCTGGAAACTCCAGCGAATCATTAGCTGGGCAACACTTTTGTTGTATCTTGATTCAAAAACAACAATAAGAAGCATAAAACTCAGATAGAAAAGTAAAAATTCAGTTGTTTAATCAGAAACTACCACAGGCTTCCCAATCCTTCACATGAATGTACATGAACTGAAAGCATTGGGGAGTGAAGTAGCCTCCTTCCCAGGCAAAACTCTACTCTGTGGGATTCCTGTGTTAAGGCAAAAAAGCTGCCACAGGGTGAGGGGGTTAGGATGGAAGGAAAGTTATTCATCGACACCAGTTCTTCTCGGTCAAGATTATCAACACAGGAAGACCAAGAAGAGAAAAAAGCCTGTTTTCGTTGGAGTAGCCTGTGAAGAAGGCTGGGGAGTGAAGAATATTTTTAAGAATACAAGAACACAGAATTCTAAGTACATACTTTTGTGCAGATACAGTAATGGCTAAAAATGTTGAAGATGTTCATCTTCAACATTTCATTAGACAGAAAACAGACAGACAGAAGCCATTTATTTGATGACTTGTCATCTTCATAATAATTGCAATGGTTATGATAATTCTAGTTAATTCCTTTGCTTCCTTTTAAATGCTTTCAAAAGCTGTGGAAGAGGTAAGGAACTGGAAAGGGGGGTGTCCCTTTGAACCCCCCTGGATTTCCCCCTTAGTGATGSTTATTCTATAAATACCTCTTTGCAATGTCATTTAATACTGGATGGTCATGCTTCTTGTTTCGGAATATAGGACTGAAGCCCATGACAGCAATCCCATGCTCATGACAGTATTTCACAAGTTCTTCTTTACGCCAAAAACAGTTCAGTTCAAATTGATTGACAGATGGTGTTGGTTTTCCAGCCTTACGCATCTCTTCTAGATGATTGACACCAAAGTTYGACACTCCCACAGACCTGTGAAAATCAATGTCAAATTTAAACATTGTTGTTTCTTAATTATGCTAGTTGATTATTTAGGGGAGGAGTCCCTTGTGTTCCATACCACCATATTGACCTSCGGCACATTCAGCAGGTAGGTACAGTGGGTGCACACCCCGTATGGACTGAGACCTGATGTCCTTCAGCACAGTTCCTTATTTTATGTCTTGTCCTTTTGGATGTATATTTAGGGGGAATTTTTGAAAATAATTTCTAACTATATAAATTTCTGATTATATAAATATTTCTTACCTGACAAGCCCTTCTTGTTTCACCTTTAGTAAACCATCATATGTGGCTAACAGTTTTCCAGGCTTTGGACTATGAATCAATACAAGGTCTATGTAGTCCATACCAAACCTGTTGAATGATATGGATTAGTATTACGTGAATATCTCTCCCTTTAGCTGACCTGATAAATTGATTCTTAGGGTCCTGACATGGTATRTTTTTTGTTGATGAACCTATTTCTTATCAAATTTGATCCATGATCCCAAAACATTGAGTGACCCCGAAAACTTTTAGCAAMTGATCCCCAATCCCAACAGCTGTGATCTGATCCCAAAGCTAAAATCGTAATCATTGATCYCAAWATAAAATTGATYGCTRWTCCCATATACACCAYGTCTTGACSCTGTGATTCTAAGTGGCGAATCCAGGACTTTACAAATAGGATTATTATCTAACAGATGATATAGTAATACTCAATGTTTATCAACAAACTCATTCTTATGTTAMTGTGCCAACCATGATCAGAATAGCTTTTCAAAAGTCACTTTGTTCTAATATCCAATTGTCTGCTGGTTGGTACATGATTAACACATTGAGTATCGCTATAGCTGGACATACTTCTCTATGCTTTCTTTGACTCCTTGTACAGCCTCTTCATATCCATGTTGGCGGTCGTTAACTTTTGTCACAACATACACATTTTCTCTTTTGATTCCAGATTTCCTTACACCTTCACCAACTTCCTTTTCATTTCTAGAAGAATTAAAATAAAGGTTACTTCTCTGAAAACGATTTTGAAATACTTTTATAAAACAGGGTTCACGTTGAATTCGATTTCGTAGGATTTCGGCTATTCCTCAATATCCCGCGAAATGTCACACAAGCGTGATAAGGTGTTAATTGGTAACGCAAGTTGCGTGACAGATCACACGTAGCTCAATGCCCGATTTTTCTAAACWCGAAATGCTTCATAAGA